TAAAAATTTTATTTAAAATAATTTAAGTTTTAAATCTTTTAAAATTCTGTATTAATGTCACCCTTTTAGTCTTTAGACTATGCAAAAAATATATTTACTAATCATAAATGGAAAAGCTTAGTACTAATCATCAGACACCAATATCTTTAACAGGATTTAGAATTTTTGTATGTGTATAAACGTGCCGGTTTTTGTAGATATGGATGTTCATATACGCCATTATCAAAAAATAAGAGTGATAATTATAGTAAACCTAAAGCTAAAATATCTAAAATTCAATAAAACATTAGATTACGGAGAATATTTTCCCAAATTTTTAAGATTGTTGAGTACTTAAAAATTATATATAAAAGACGCTCACGTTATATTATTTAATTATTTTTTACGCATAAATCCCACATAGAACAACATTAGATAAATATCAATCTGCCATCAAGCTGTCAACACCTCAAAGGCTTAAATAAACAGCTAATTTCTGCAAGATTTTAAATTTAAGGTAAATAGTAGTTGTTTCAACTCAGATTAATTATAATTTACATCAGCTAATATTCTTCAAATAAAGTTGTAAAAAACTATATTTTATTTTTGGAAGATTTTTTAATAAAGAGAATTACATTCTAATGACAGGTGGTTAAAAATGGCGCTAAAATGAAAAACATTCAGCAATTTCAAAACGAAAACTTCTTCGAATTAATTTCAGTTAGTTTTGAAGTACAAGAAAGTATTTTGCTTATTGGAAATATTAAAATTAATATATTAACTTGAAATTAAAACCAGAATAAAAGCTTCAAGAAAGATTTTTCATTTTTAAAAATTCAGTTTAAACCTTAGGTGCTACGAATTTGTGGAGTTACCTACTCTATATATTTGAACATCTTTTTGCATAACGAATTCAGAGAAAGTTGTTTGGTTTGACTATTCTATAAGAATCGATGTGTCATAAACCGCTCAACCATCGTTACTAATTAAAATTAATCTATTAGCTTTAAATTACAGCAAAAATAAAAGCTCCAAGAAAGATTTTTTTATTTTTAAAAATTCATTTTAAACCATAGGTATCGCGAATCTGTGGAGGTACCTAATTTTAACAAATATACTTGAAATTTGATCATCTTGCCGTCAGCGAAACAACGGGTGACGATGGTTAGAAGAAAAGGAAGAGAAGATGGAAGAAAATAGAAAAAAGAGGTGACACGGGTAGAAAAGAGAAAGTGAAGGCAAAACGGTAGAATGAAGAGTTGAGTGGGCGTAGAAGAAGAAGAAATGAGCGGGAACAGGGAAGTAATAATTAAAATATGTAAAACAAAGGATGAGAAAAAAATTCGTGAAATAAGAGAATGAAGACAGAACAAAAAAAAATGAGTGTGGGAGTGAGGATTTGACAAGAAATACCGCACAGGTCAGCCAAGTAGAGCGGATGGGTAAGTCCTGCAATTATGTTCAATGTTAGTGACATAATCAACGTTCCATGCCTGCTATTAAAAGCGAGAGTCATTTCCTCCCTCTCTCTCTCTCTCTCTCTCTCTCTCTCTCTCTCTCTCTCTCTCTCTCTCTCTCTCTCTATCTATCTATCTATCTATCTATCTATATTTTTCTCTTTCCATCTCTCTCCCATTCTGTCTGTCTTTTCTCCCTCTCTCTCTCTTCCTCTCTCCCACTTCCCCCTCTCTCTCTAGAGACACACTCAAAAAAAAAAAATATAAGTTACGAAAAAAGAAAATGAGCAGCGTACTCATCGCGTTGGCGTCATCCGGAAGTCAAACAAGTGAGACACCTGGCGGAAGAAAAATCATGATAGAAAAATCGATTGAATACTTGTTCTGTGTCTCATGGCTCTCCACAATTTCCTGTCCTTTGTAGCTCTTAGTAAATTTAATCTTTTCGCTATCTTTCCTAATCCCTGTTCTGCAAACGATTTACACCATACCCTCAGATCGATTAACCACTACTTTCCTCTGTCCCTCTTGCCTTCAATATGTCCTGTGAGTGTCAAATTTTCTAAACCCTCTTTCCTCATTACATGCCCTAGAAATGTCCACGGTCTCTTTCTGATGCCAAATATAAGCGTTCTTTTTGTTTCCAATTTCAATAAAACATCTTTATTAGTGACATGTTCAATCCATGGTTATCCTCAGCATCCTTCTGTAGGACCACCTTCTGTAATGAAGTTGCCCAGCATTCACTGCCATATAGGAGGATCGACATTACATAACTGTTAATGTCTCTTTTCTTTGCTTGCAACGAGATCTTCCTGTTTCAGAAATCTTTCTAAGCTTTTGAAAGTGCACTTTCGAATTTCGGCGTAGAGCCATTTCCTTCTCTCTCTCCCTCTCTCTCTCTCTCTCTCTCTCTCTCTATCTATCTATCTATCTATCTATCTCTTTCTATCTTCCTCTCTTTCTCTTTCCCCTTTTCTTTCTCTCCATCTCTCTCTCTCTCTCTCTCTCTCTCTCTCTCTTTCTATCTTTTCTTCCTCTCTCCCGTTTTCCTTGATAATTAAATTTTTGCACTTCTATTTGTAATTCGAATGTTACGGTTTTCTTTTTACTGGCAACCATATATTCTGTCTAATTACAATTGATGTTTAATTTTTTTCTCGCTATATTTTTACTGTAGAAATTCCTGTATTTTCCTTTCTGTGTCTGCTATCAACACTGTGTCATCTACATATCTAATATTGTCAAAAGATCGTGACCGCCAATAACAAATCCTGATTAGAATTCTATTTCTCTCAGACGATAAAATGCTTTGAAGTATTATACGATATATGGAGACTTTACAAACGGTATAAAGAAGTGGATTTAAAATCAATGTTTCTTTTGTCATTTTTTAAATAAGTATTTCTTCTTCTTCTATGTGTCGTGTCCCTTCACAACTTCTTGAGTTTTGTAGCACTTATTAAAGTTTATCTTTTTGCTAATTCCTGTACTGTCAACCATTTACGCAAGCCCCTTAGGTAAGTTTCTCGCTGCTTTCCTCTGTTCCTCTCGTCTTCAATTTGTTCTGTGAGTGTCAAATTCCCCAAGCCCTCTTTCCTCATTATGTACCCTAGGATTGTCAACCTTTTCCCTCCTAATTCTAACTATGTTTTTGTTTCCATTTTCTTTCAGACTTCCAAGTTACTCAAATGTTGAGCGCTTGGTATTCTCAGCATCCTTCTGTAGAACCGCATTTGTTTTGCCTCTAGTCTATTCTTTATCGGTGAGGAGATTGTTCAGTAGTCACTAAGATATAAGAAGATTGAGGTGACAAAGCAGTTAAATACTCTTTTCTTTGTTTCTAACGAAATCCTCCTGTTTTCTGGGGTTTTTTTTTTTAATTTAACAAATGCATTTTTATGGTAGGAAGAGAGACTTAATTCAACAGAGAAAAATATAGTATTAATAAACTATAGAAGGTTCTGGTCCAAAGTTCAGGAAAATTTGAATATATTAAACGAGTTAAGTGAGCCAACGTTCCCCGTATCCTACGGGACATTTGAAATTATAGAATGGGTGGCCATTGTTAAATGTAAATAAATGACAGGTGTCCCAAAGAAACATATTTTACAAAGTTTGCAATAACAAGAAAAAGAAAAGAACAGAGCAAAAAATAATATAAAACAAAAAAAATATGCAAGGCAAATTAAGGTAAAGCAACAGAAATATGGCAAAAAGCTCACAAACTAAGAATTGGGGTTGAGACACAAAAGTAAGTTTGGATAGGCGAACGTAACATTTTGACTTCAAGAAAAAACAGACCGGGACTGAATCAATTGAAACCGAGAACCGGCCTATTTTAGCGGCTAGAAAGAAATCCCAACATGCATCTGTGTGCTACTGCCTATAAAATGGGGAGTGAAAAGTATCTTGCAGTCATTCCAACTAGATTAGAATCAACAGAAATCAACCCACGAAATAAAGAACATTTTTTATCAGATTATTATTTCTTTGAGGAAACCATTTCCCGCTTTGCGTTCTTCAAACTTTTGTGCGGCATTTCGTTGAGTCCGAGCTTTGCCAATTCGGAATTTATGCTGAGACTCCGGTCTTTCGGCAAAATGGTTACTTACATGAATGGCCGATAAAAAAAAAATGTATCATGAACACTGGTCTTTAATTTAGCATTTTGAAAATATTTAACTTTTTATAAGTTAGGATTTCCACATTGAAGTTGAAAACAGTTTTTCAAATTTATTCAGAGAAAAAAATTAAAAATTTACCTTCCCATTCGGATGCAGTCGTTGATAAAAGTGATTTGGGGAGGGGGATGAGAATAACAGAGAACATCTAACCCCTTATCACAAGTATTATGAATGGCGTAAAAAAAAAAAAAAAAAAAAAACACAAGACACTTACTCTAGTGTGAAATTTGAAAGAAATTATTGAATAACATAAATAGTAATAATAATGATAATAATAATAATGATAATAATAATAATGATGATAATAATAATGATAATGATAATAATAATAATAAATACTGCTGCAAAATACTTAAAAAAGAAAGTAAAAACAAATGCAACCGACTAGATGCAGAAACAATGGCAAGATAAACCGCTTCATGGCCAATACACTGTCCGTACCAAACAAGCTGAGGTAGACAAATCCCGTATCAATCAGTGGCTACGTAGTGCAGGGTTGAAAGCAGAAACTGAAGGTTTTATCCTTGCTGCAAAGGACCAATGCTTGCTAACTAGGAATTATCAAGCACATATACTAAAATATTGTGTTTGCCCAAAATGCAGATTCTGTGATAAATATCCAGAAACGATTGATCATCTTGTATCAGGTAGCACGATATTGGCACCCAATGAATATAAAACCCGGCATGACAGAGTGGGCCAATATCTGCACTGGAAAATTTGCAACTTCTACGGGAAAGAAACTGAAAGAAACTGGTATGAACACCACCCAGACCCGGTTACGGAGATAGGACCTATTACAATTCTATGGGACTACACAATACACACTGACAGAACAATCAAAGCCAACCGCCCAGATATTGTTATTAAAGACCACAAACAAAAAAAGTGCCTCCTTATTGATATGGCAGTCCATGCTGACGGCAATGTATCTTTGAAGATATTCAAAAAGCTGTAAGGACCTTGAAATAGAAATTTCAAAAATGTGGCATATGGGAACATCAACAATCCCTGTTCTAGTTGGAGCCTTAGGACTGATTGGAAAAGATTCCCGTAGATTAATTGAAGGGATTCCTGGAAGTCCATGCCTCAAAGAGATACAAAAAATTGTTCTGACAAGTTCAGCCCACACTTTACGAAGGGCTTTATCTATGTCATTTTTTTTTTGTCAGTGGAAAGTGTCATGATGCCATTTCTAACCTTAGGTCCCTGGGCGGGACCCGGAAAGAAATGTGTAAACGCCAGAAATCAAAGAAAATAAAAATAATAATAATAATAAACTATGAAAGTACAAGGACCTTGAAATCGAAATCTCAAAAATGTGGCCCGTTATGACATCAACAATTCCTGTTTTAGTTAGAACCCTCGGATTGATCGAAAAAGGTTCCGATAGACTCTTTGAAGGGATCCCTGGTAGCCCCAAACCTTAGAGAAATGCAAAAAAAAAATTGTACTGCTCATACCTTACTATGTAAAATGTGCATTATCTTAGCTTTTTTGTTTTGTTTTTATTTTTCAAAAAAATGCTCAGTGAAAGATGTCATGATGCCATTTCTGACTTTAGGTCTCTGGTTGGGACCCGGAAAGAAATGAGTATACACCAGAAATCAAAGGAAATAACAATAATAATAATGATAATAATTGTTACGAGAAGTGTTTTTCTTTACTTTTCTTTTCTTAAATCATGCTATTAACTGTTGAAAATATTGGACGAGTTACATCAAACATTTTGTTTTTAATAATAATAATATTAATACTAATATAGAATAAAAAATTTACAAAAAAAGGCTTGTTCAAAATTATCTTTTGTGCGTCATACAATTAGGCAATATAACAAGTTATACGATCCTGTTGAGCTCATAAAACCAATTATAATTATTATCAAGAAAATGTACACTTCGATTCATTTGACTGTCGGAAAGTGTTGAGAAGGTTGACTATTCACAGGCGTTGTCCTTATGAATGCCGAAACCCTTCTGCTTTCTACCTCCTAGCAGCTGCCACGAACTTTCCCCTGTGAAAGCCAAATCCCTTTTGCTTTCCCTTCTGCAGTCCTTCGCCTGTGAAAGTCCCTTCTTTATGTGAGTCGAACCAGACTTCTTAAATAGCCACCTATCAGCTCCGATTTCAATCAGAAATTTGATATTTTGGATTCGTAATTTACTTTCCCCGTCGGTTAAAATGTCACAATATATATCTCTCAGATCACGCCTGTCCTGTTTTTAAACTTTATTTAGGCAGGTTTAGGGACCATAAGACTTGAGCCTTTTTTTTTTACACATTTGAAAAACAATTTTTCTAGAAGTTTCCCCCCTCCTCCATAAACCGTCAGGCTTCATTTTGGTGGTATTTTTACAACATCAATTTGATCCTCACATATACAAAGTTTTACACGTCAAATTTTATTCAATTCATTTTTTACTAACCGTCTAGCATCATTATAGCAGATTTTTTGTTAAACGAATACGTGTTAATAAATATTTTTAAACACCCCCCTCAATAAACAAATATAGTCTGTTGTATTAATTTTTTTTTTGTTGTATTATTTTTTATTTACCCTTTAATCATTTTTATATAATTTTACATTTCCTTTTTATTATATAAATTTTTATATTGAAAATAGAGGCGATTACATATTTTTATAAATAATATTTGAATACATGCACTTACATTTACTTTTTATATCCTTTCTGGCAAAATTTAATTTCCGAACATACTAATATTTAAAAGTACCCAAACTGTTTAGTGTGTATAAATAATAATATGCTATTAAAGTCTGTTAAATTATCTGGTATTACAAATGCTATTTGAAATAGTCGAAAGAAAAAGTGGAAAAATAATTGTGGTTGAATTCAAGCGTTCAGAACACTGGCTTACTTATTATGATCACTTTATAAGTTATTGGACTAAGTTACATATTGTTCTCACATTGCCTTCAGTTGCCTCAAAGTCTCCAATAAAGTTTGAAAACATTTGCCATTCAGTTGAGTTTATTATCTTTACGTTCATCAAGTCTTTAACATTTAGAGTCACTCAAAAGATATTTCTATTTTTTTATCCTCTTTCTGAATCAGGGTTCAGTTCAGATTGGATACGTCGTTGATTTTTGTGCTTGTTGATGTAGAGGGCAGAATTATTTTATTTTCGAACTCTTTATAAAAATATGAATGTTGAAAGTTTTATGGAGAAATTTCAAAAAATGACTTGCCAAGATGGATTTGTAGTGAGTCCCGATAAAAATAAAGTTAAATAAAATATAAAAATAAGATATAATAAAAAATAAAAAGAATTGAAATTAAAATAAGGCATTCGCTTTATATTAAAACCATTCTCTCTCTCTCTCTCTCTGTCTATCTGTCTCTCTCTCTCTCTCTCTG